TTTGGCTATGCCACAGGGAGTGGGGTGTAATAGGTAGCAGAAGGGACAACTCATAAATTTTAAAAAGTTGAAAAATGAGACAGGCCAATGTACTTTTTACAGCCAAAATACTTTTGTCAATGACTTATAAGCCTAGGCTGGCTTTCCCAACCTCTTTTGCCTGGTCTGGTTTACAGAGAATAACAATGTAAACATTACTACTCTTTCCCAAAATCTAGCTGTTTCTAAACATCAGGTAGGTCCCTACTACCTGAAAATATGTTATTATTTCTGTAACTTGAAGTCAGCTGCTGGACCATTGAGCAGGGAACCACACTCTTCTCCCAATAAATTATTCCAGCTTTATACCAAGCATTCGTCCCTTCTTTGGTTTCAGTATGCCTTGCACCATGACCCCTTACCCTAAATAAAAGGATTAAGGCCCTTTTATTTGGGTCATTTAGGCATTACAGGGAAATTCTGTTGTACCTTAGTGATAATCTTATTCTTCCAAGCAGAGATACAAATCTGGATCTGGTTGCCAACAGTGACTTATAAGGTCAACTACATTACTCGCAACTTTTTCTTGCTGCGTAGGTTTTCATATTTTATAAACTGTGGCCCTTACCCTGCCTCTGGACACAAGTACTGACATCTCACAACTAAAACAAATTCATTGGCTAGCCAGTGATTGGTGACATTGTAGCCTGGCATGAAGAGATGAGCTAGGCCAGATTCTTGTTTCTGGAATTTTTAATTGAGAAACATAAAGATGACTGGTCTGAAGATAGTGAGTTATCTCAATTGATTGTTCACAGTCAGTTATAGATTGAACTTCTTGTTCCACTCTTTCCCCTTCTTACTACTGCACTTGACTACTCTGTTTCAAAATGGAGGGAAAAGGATCATAAAGATGCTGAGCTAGTTAACAGATAATGCAGAAGTTGAAAACACCCCCTACAACACCAGAAGTTAGAATCAAGTCTGTGTCAAGCTAAAGCCAAGTTCAATTCAAAGTTAAGAGTAGATATCACTTCTGGATAAGCTGAGCAAACTCTTTGGTAGAAAGAGAGAATAGAGGAGAATAGTGGGCATGAAGCAGACATACCATGAGAAAAACTCCATACTGTCAATGAAACAGCTAGAACAAAGAGAAGCCAGGACTTCCTGATGGCTTTCCAATTCTACTTTCCTTATAATAAATTCCCCTTTCACTGAGGGAACCCAAGTGAGTTTCTGCTACTTGCAACCAAAAGAGCTTAATTACAAGCATGCCATACTTAGGTGCCACACTAATGGTCATGGAAGGGACACCTGCCATGAATCTGGATGCAGAAAGTAACACAGCACAGAACCATCAGAAAGCAGCTGCTTGATCAATAGTGAATGAATAGCATATTTATCAGTTCCAGAGCTCTGGACAGTGAAATGCAAGCTGCTCTATGGACTGCCAGTTTCATCTTCACTTCTCTTTCCTCACTGAGGAAGAGTCCATATATACTCTAAGAAACTCATGTTGCCTTCAGATGAATCCTTTTGGAAGACCTGCAAGCTTGGCTGCCCCATGGCAACCAGCTTTTCTCAATACTTATTGAGGCCACAGGAGAAGAGAAGGTCCTTAGAAGAATAGCAAGAAGAATTTAAATAAGAAAATAGGGAGAATTTACTGCCAGTGAGTCTGGTTTTAGAAACTAAAACGATGACCAATTAAGGTTAGAAATTCTCTTCAGTGGAATGCTCAAAATTAGAAAGCATTCTTATCTTTCTCCTGGTATCACAGGAAGTGCAACTGGTTACTCAAAGGCCTTTCTAGGCCCTGGAATTCATCCAATGGCAATACAACAACACCCCCTGTTTTTCCACAGATAAACTGAAATCCTAGGATATGAAGAGGTCACCCAGAGTATGCACATTGGATTAAGGACAAAAGTAGAAATGAAACCTAAGCCTTTTCCTGCTGCCACTATATACCCTTTGAGGAAAAATTTAATAAAGATTGAGTTTTCCCACACAGACTAGGAAGAAAAGAACACAAGTTTATAAAAGAACACCAGCTCTATTTTCTAACCTTCACATTCAGATCCCTGGGACTGGCACAAACTCTGCCTTCTCAAGCAGAAACTAGAGCTGGCCAAGTGCCTTTCTTGGCACAGTAGAGGGAACCTTCCATCTTCTTCAGACCCCTGCTTCTCAGATCTTACCATACTGAGGAGCTCAGGTCAAGGATTTCCTTCTCCAGAAAGTCTCCCCTCACTATCCCCAGCCCCCAGGCTAAGTTACATGCTCCTCCTTTCTGTTCCCATAGCACCCAGTGCTTACTCCAGTGACTAAAATAGTCTGTAATATATATTCTTTACAAAAGTTTATCATCTGCTTCCTTCACTAGAGTGTGTATTCCTTGAAGGCAGGAGACATACGTATCTTCAATTCTGTATCCTTGGCACATGGTAGATAATAAGTATTCAATAAATGCATCTGTTTCAGAGTATGCACAGCCTATATAACAAACAGCTTCCTTTACCCACATTGCCCAAGAGGAAAGTCCCTTCTGAAGGGACTTCCATGTCAGGGTTGGGAAATCACCCCAGACACCTGATAGAGTCAGAAAAAAAAAAAAAAAACTTAGAAAGAAAAAGGCTTTTGGAGATAACCTACCTTAATCTCTCCTTGTTACTGATGTGAATGTTGAGACACAGAAAGGGAAAATGATTTACCCAAGGTCACATAGCTAGTAACTAGCAATACCTGTTTTCACTGATCAAAGAGATCATCAACGCTTAGAGGTTCTGCCCTTCTAGAGACATGTGTCCAGGATGATTACCTCTTGGCAACAATATCTTTAGCAGGCACCAGGAATTTTCTAGGCATTAAATTGAGAGTGAAAGCACAACATGGTGGCTTAAAACAATGGGTTCTGTGGTCAGACTGCAGAACTAGACCTAAATTCAAATTCCAGCTCTGCCACGTGGAGGCTGTTAGGCAAGTTACTTAATTTCTCTGTGCCTCATTCACCTCATCTATAAAATGAGAATAATAATAATACACTTGTCTTTTGATATTCACAGGGTATTGGTTCCAAGATCCCTGCAGATACCAAAATCAGCAAATGTTTAAATCCCTTATAAGAAATGATGTAGTGCTTGCATATAACCTAGAACATATTCTTGTATATTTTAAATCATCTCTAGATTATTTATAATACCTAATGCAATGTAAATGCTATGTAAATAGTTGCTGTATATTTGTTGGATTTTTAAAAATATATTTCAGCCATGGTTGGTTGAATCTGTGGATGCAGAGCCTACAGATATGGAGGGCTGACTGTATTTTATGGAGCTGTTCCAAGAATTAATGAGATTAATATACATAAAGTGTCTCATACATAGAAAGTGCTCAACAAAGATTTATTATTCTTATACAGTTGCCTCTCCCCATGGCTTCTCTCCCAGTTTCTACCTGTATTCTCCATGCTAATTTCTTCCTCACAGCTAAAAATTCAAAACCTGAACAGGGCTTGATTCAAAAGCTGCCTGGTTGGAGTTATCTTGCAATTTTGCAGAGGTACCTGCTGAAAGACCAGGAATCTCTACAAAGCATGTGTTCAGCTTTAGTGCATGTAGCTCCACGCTCTATCCAACCTGCCCTCCCACCCCTGTCATCTTCCTCAGCCCTCTATCCTGCCTTTTAGCCAGGTGAGCACATTAGTTTGTAAACATGCTTCATGGAGATATTTGACTTGTAACTGACAGCTGATTCCATTACATTTTATCATAGCTGGAGAAAGATGCCCCTGGGAACACATTAAAAATAAAAATGGATTCATAGGTAATTCATTCTCAATTATATTTGTCCCTAACAGTTCTCATTAATTTGGGGTTGTGAAGATGTGCTTCAAGTAGCAACAGGGAAGTCATTTACAAGTGTCAGTCCCTGCCACCTTCTGGAAGAATAGAGGTTCATTAAAAATGTAGGTTCTTGGACTTTAGCCCCAGGTATTTGATTCAGTAACTGCAGCCCAGGAATATGCACTTTAAAAGTGCCCTGTGATGTAGAGATATCGTATCCTGGTACCAATACTTAAGAAAAACACCACTAAAAATGTTAAAAGCAGACATTCTGGTGGCAGAAAAAACTTGCTTAAATCACAGCCCTGCCACATATGAACTGCAGCCCTGGCTTTCACTTCTTTTCTATGTCATTGCTAACTCCCAGTTTGACTTCCTTTCAACCACATATGTCCCTTGGAGAAGTCTGTTTCAACTGCATATGCTTAGCTGGGAACTTTCTTAGTCTCATGTGCCTCTAGGAAGGAAAAGAAAGCCTTTAGAGTGTCTCACTGTCTTTACTCCCCTACTACACATGAGCAGATGTCCAATAGTGCTGCCATCTTGTTTCCCTTCCTCAACTCCTCCTCTCCCTAAGAATCCCCTCTCACAAAGCTTACTAAATGTTCTCCCCAACATGATTGCCATGGTTTGTATTTACTGAGCTGACCGAGCAGAGGGCTGGAATTGGACACTTTATTCAGCTTTTGCACCTGAGGGTTTGTACTGGTGTCATGATATATGTCATGATATATGACACCAGTACAAACCTTCAGGTGCAAAATCTGAGACAGAACTTGGAACCCTCCCTCCAGCCACACCACAGCTGCCCTCTACTTTCCCCTGTTCCAAGCATTACTATTTACCCAATCCCAGCTGCTATATAATCTTCTCCCAACTATACATTCACAAATAGGTAGATGCCTAATCTTTGTCTTCTGGCAGGGATAGCCTCCTCATTGAGTATTACCAACCTCCTTTGCACACCTCTCCACTATTTACAAGTGCAACTGTTGAGTAGGCGGCCATTTTGTTAAGCTTCCTGCTCTGTTCTCACTTTCCTTATCTTTTCATAGCTGCCAATCCTCCTTTCCAAACATAATTATTAGGTATCTTGGATTTGTTGCCCTGAGAAGAAGCCTGGTATGGGTTAATTTGTTATTATAGCAACTTTGACTCAAACATAACCCAGTGGAAAATTTACAAGCCTGACTTTCAACTATATCTCAGCTTTCCCTTCCTAGGAAGTTCTTCCACTTACTTCCCCCATTTATTTTATCCCATATTCCTCTCAGAGTTAGAGGATAGCTCATAGCTGCCAAAGATGCCAAAAGTAGATCAGGGAAGCCTTCTCAGAAAGGCTGCATTGGACCTGGCCTTTGAGTTATAGCTAGATATTTACAAGCAGGGATAGAAGAAAAGGGAATTACAGAAAGAAGCAACACAATAAACAAGGCCTAGCAGAGTTTCTCAAATTTTAGTGTATACTGGAATCATGACAGTGAATGATAAATAACAACTCCCAGACAGTCGTTACCTTTTCAGTGGGGACAAGGGAATGTGATCAGGGTATGAAAGAGGCTTCAGCTATATTGCTAATATTCTAACATAGAATAGTGAGTACATCTGAAATATTTCATTATATGTTTTCAAAAATATATGAACCTGAGAGGTTGTGTAATATGCACTTTAGCAGGCCTTTGTATAGTCTGTAGCACCAAGGAATCTGTAATAACGAGAACTCCAGGTAATGCTTAATCCAAGTGATTCATGAACCACTCTGAAAAACACTGTGATAGCATTTCTTTTCCAACAGAGAAAAGAAAAAAATCAAGACCATTAGTGTATAAAGCTAATGGCTCCTGACTTAGAGTCAGGAGCCCTGGACTATATTCTCAGCTCTGCTCCAATTTGCTACATGAGTCTTTGCTAGTGGGTTAACTTCCTTGAATACCACTTCCAAAACAGAAAATCACTTTTGTAATTCTTGCTCAGCATGGTAAGGATAAATAAAATGATGTCTTGTGAAACTTTGAAGGACTTTCCAATAAATAAATGGTTTCCAGAGAAGACAATGAATTTTAGAAACATGGCACCCTTCCTGAAACCAAGTTCTCAGTGATATGTCTTCAATGGCAACTTTTATTCAGTGTGAAGCATGTAATATTAGGACCTTACATGGAGAAAAGCACTGGTGTGTTGAATGCTGCTGTCTTAACAAAAACAACAAAAATGTCCAGGGTGGTGATCCTCCCTTGGACTGGGGAAAGGGAACACACATACACATCAAAGTAACTGGGGAGATTTGGCTAAATGTGCAGCCTTACACCTGTTGTTGTGTATATCAGAATGGTAAATGAGACTAGAGAGTTGGAAAGCTCACATTTTTTAAGCACCCAAGGTGATTCTGATATATTCCTTGGTCCAGAAAGATTCTTGGCCTCCCACGAGTAACCTGATCCAAGATCTTACATTGTTTTCCTTCCAAGAAGTTCCTTATATTTTCTACTCACCTATTTGTTCTTTGTTTAGCTCTCACTGAAGATAGAGGATCTCATAAGCATCTACATATGTATACACAGGGGAATGTGAATAATGGCCATGTTCTCAGGGACTGGGGGCCAGCTGGTTAGAAATCTCAGCATCCCCAGGGTTGAAATAATCTCCTGGCCAGGTGTTTCCTTCATTGGTTGGAGCAGCGCATAAAGGTCCCAGTGGAAGGCTCTCTGGACCCTAGGCTTGTCCAGCTGGATCAGCTACAGGTGGAGGAAATGGGCCCCATGGGCCCCATCAGGTCACCTTGCTGAGTATGAGTCAGGCCAACAGCTCTTTATTTCTTCCTGTCTCTCCCACTTCCCACCACTCATCTCTGTGGGCAGCCGCCAAACTGGGGAACAAGAGTCAGGCAGGAGGAGGGGGTAGTTCTTAATGGATACTCCATCTCTTCAGTGGTTTGGGGTCTGGCAGAGAGAAACCAGACCTGAAACAAATTGACTCCTCCCTCAGTGTATTTCAGTTAATGCACTAGCTGTGGAGAAATAGCCAGGCCTGAAGCAACAAAATCAATTCCCCTCAACTGAACAAGTTTGAGCGTAATCCCCCAAACTCTTTATCTTGTATCTTTTATCTATGGGGCCCAAAATGCCGCCCAGCCTTAGTTTCCTTCCATTGGCAAAGCCTGTCTCAGAGGGTCAGGCCGAAAATCTCTAAAGATCCTTAGGTCACGGTCATATGCCAAGGGGCTTCTAGTGAATACATCCAAGCAACCCTCACCATTCTTTAACATCTGATATAACCTTGACAGCCACTAGTTTCTAGAAAGGAGGCAAGAATGGCTCTTAATTGGCTGATGTTACAGATGGGGAAGCTGTGGAGGTCTAGTGATCTGATCCAATATCAATCCCCTACCCAGGGATAAACCTGGTAGCACACCCTGGGTCTTGAACCTTTCTAGGACTACTGCCAAATGTCATTTTCTTCTTGAGCTTTAAAGACCCACCTCTAGATGTGAACTCTGTGACTGTGTTCCTACGTGCAAGGCTCATGTGGATTTAGAATGGCAGAATCATGTGAGACTAAAATGATGTTCATGTTTTTATGTCCTTTATATGACACCTACCACTCAAAGTTCTGTCCCACCTAACCTGTGAATATCCAAATCTCCACTACCTTCCCACATCCCCTATCAAAAATTTCCTTTGAGTTTCTGTATCTACTAAGTGAAATCAACCGAAATGCATCATATGGAGAACTATGAATGCTTTGTGAAAGTCTCAGTCAAGCCCAAAAGAGGAAGCAAGCTGGGGGTATGGGAGTCGGTTTAATGTGTGGAATCTGATGAAAGCTGTTGCTAGGTTTTCTGATTCCTGCCAGTTAGCCCCTCCTCACTCTGCTGGAAACTTTTAGAAATGCAAGTGAGGCTAAACTGTCACTCTGTTGTCAGAAGAGAAAAGAGTTCAGGGTGCTAACAGCCCCGCATGGAATCCTGGAAAAAGAGGAAAGGATGTGAACTATCCCAGCCCTCACATATTCAGTTTATCCCAACATATGCTAGATATTGCCTTACTCATGCATTCATTCTTTCTACAGTTACTGAACATCTGCTTTGTGCCAGGCACAGAACTGGGCTCCAGGGCTATAAATATGAATTGCAAGGATGACCCTTCTGCCCTACCAGCCAAGTGTCACTTCCTGAAATAATGTGTTCATAGCAGTGCTGAGTTAATTATAGCATTTTAAAAAATAAAAGTGAAAGGTAAGCCTAAGACCTATTTATAATACCCATGGAGCTTCCAAAGCAAGCTAAGATAATTGGCTTAGATCAGCCTTGGCAACTGGTTTAGCATTACGGTTTTCAAAGGGAAGAAACTAACCTAATTGTACATTCCAATGTGGCTAAAAAGCCGTTGGTGGCTAAAGGCTGGGAAAAATCAGAAATAAAGGAAGCTAGAATGCTAATTCAGATTTAAAACTTTTATAACTTGTCTGAGAAAAGAGGAAACCAGAAAGCATCACCTTAACTGGTACAACAAAAATAATCTGATGCTTTTCATAATCACACCAGGAAACCATGGTAGCCTAGTCCAGGGTTTCTCAAACTTGGAACTATTGACATTTTGGATGGATACTTTGTTGTTGCAGGGGGAGTGTTGTCCTCATCTTGTGCATTGTAGATACTCATCAGCATCCCTCACCTTCACCCACTGGATGTCAGTAGAACCCTCCACAAGTTGTGATAATTTAAAATGTCTCCAGACATTACCAAATGTCTTCCAGGGGGAAGGGCGTGCAAAAGCAGTCCCCATTGAAAACCACTGTCTTAGCTCATCTCTGCAATCTCATTCCAAGGCCATCTGAATGCAATCATTGGACAGAAGAAAGAAAAATCAGATCTGGGCTATATCACCAGAGGACAAATTCAAAGGAAGTGAAGTGTAGAAAATATCATGTCATTTGCTGACTATAGTCACAGAGCAACTTGGTAAAGAAAATAGAAGTGAAATCCAAGTTTCCTAGCTCTAGCGATCCATACTGTCATGCTAATGGAGAAAATAATGATAATGAATTGGATAACATTCTAAAACTCTGTAACAACAACAAACTTCAGCAGTAGATTCTACCAGCACTTTTTTCCCAGTGCCCAATCTATGTTTTGCAAAATACTCAAATATTCATACATACACTTTCCTGTCTTTCTAAATTTGTTTTTTTTTCTTTTCAGATAGTTCAAATTATACAGCTCCCATTGTCTTCCTGACGTCTGCCATTTTTGCATTTTGATCTTTTCTAGCCAATCCACACTGCCAGCATCTCAGGTTCCCTGCACTAAAGTTAGGGGGAGCCTGAATGAGGGAAAAAACAAGTAAGGTGGGTCAAGGTCACAAGAAATCTGGGTAGACTGCTAATAGCTGCCAGAGAGAGCTAGCCTCGTGTGTGGTCCAAATAAGCAGTCATCTACAGTTTGGTACCTAGCGTTCCACTATTACAGGTGTATTTCTTTGGTTAGAACTGTTAGTAATTTGCAACTGTGTGTATGTGTTTATCAGATCACTGTTCTCTGAGATAACTACCGGAGAGCAGAGCTTCTAGAGATTGAGTTTATATTGGAGCAGTAATACTAGAGTATATGTTGCTCCCTGTGGAAGGCAGATATATTAATAGATAATGTTTTTAAATGGGCAACCCGCAGGCAGATGAAGGTGACAAAAATAGAGGGTAAACAACAGATATCAACTCTACCTACTAGCCAAATTTGCTATGAACAAAACTCTGATATTGATTGCACTTTATGAAGTCCTAGACTAAGTATTTTAAAGGAGACCTCATTCATAGCCTTAGAGTTGGACAAAGTGAAGGGGGTGAGAATGGATTTCCCCATAGGGCTATGCTCCCCACTCCTCCCTGCCCCAAAGCTACCCAACTTACCCAATTCCAGAAGGACAGTCTTACCTCCAACAAACTGCGCTGCTCCCATGCAACGTCCCATCATTCTGGAGATGAGCTCCTCCATGCAGCAACCCAGGACAGCAGCCAGTGCCACCAGGAGCAGCAGAGCACAGCCGGCACCTGTCACCACCGTGCACATCTGCCAGGCCAGGCTTGGGATGGCATTGAAGCTGGCATAACGCCCACATTCTTCCACCATGATCAGACTGTGTCCCTCTCCCCGCACAGGGTAGTTGCACCTCCGGAATGTGCTAAATGACACTGGCTTCCCGAGCTGGGATCCAAGGAGCCAGTAAGGTAGGAAATAACTGGTAGAACTGGCCACAGCAGTAACAAGGGACAGGAAGGCCCAGAGGGTTCCCACCATGGTCAGGCTGCTCCTCATGGTCTCAGGTTTCTCTGCAGGGATGTGGAGATGAGTTGCGTCACAGCACCAAATGCAATAAGTTACCATGTAGGCTCCACTGGCCTATTTTTCATCTGGTTGGCCAGTCCTGGGGCCCAGTTATATGTCACTTGGTCCTTGCTTCTGGGTAAGATTATTCTCTCGAGGACCATTTGGATCCCTGCGGGATTTTCCTTTTCAGTACTTTTCCCACCTTCCCTTCCTTCTGCCTCATTTAGAGTTCTATGGTCTTCAGTCTACAGTGGAGGAACCAGATAACGGAATTAGGGTCTGCTTTGCCAACTCAAATACAGTGATCAGACAGCTTTTAACTCTTGACATACATCGTGGAACAAGTGGCAGAAAAGGAGTCTAAATGAAAACAAGGCTGCTCTCCCAGCTTCCAGCTGAATGGACTTGCTGGCCTGGTAGCTTGGAAAGAGGCAATATCTGAAGAGGATCAGGAACAAACTTGTTTTCAGTGAGTGAAGGAGAAGCAAGACAACTTAACAGGACCTTCCCCTACTATAAGTGGTAAGAGGGAAAGAGAGCTTGCCATGGAGCTACAGGATGGTCCCATTTGACTTTGGTAAAATGTCCACCAGTGTGTTGGTGTAGGCTTTTCAACTGGGATACATCGGCCAGGTTAAAATGGATAGAATAAAATAAGGAGTGTCTAGTCCCATACCCTATACCTGTCATTGAGAGGGCACTGATCAGTCACTTTTCCCACAATCTAAATGGGAGGCAACTTTCCAACCAGTAGAGGTTAACTCTGGACTGGCTATTAAGAAAAGCTTCCTTGTCCTTTGCTGGTTATAATTCAAAAAGCTTCTCAAAGTTCTGAAATAGATCAGGATCAGGCACTCCCTACCTTGCAGCAGGAACATATAGCTATAAGGACCTTTCAAAGTCCCTTTTGGAGCAAGTAATCTTGCAATCAAGATACTGAGAGTCTTTCCAGACCGTTTCTCAGGTCAGCTCACAAATGGTTTTCACAGACCCCTCTGTCAAAAATCAACCACTTCCCTCCCAACTCCATTAATCTGCCATTGCTTTCTGGCCTATTTCTCTATTGGGGCGGCTAGAGACCACACTGCATCTTGATGACAGCACTGTGAATGTCTCCAGCAAGCAGATGGTGGAATATCTTTAAGAAATTTCTCCGTGATTCATCACCATTGCTTAAAGTTATATATGGTGGTATAAAGGACAGGGAAGGAGGCTGGGGGACCCAAAGCAGGGAAAGTGCAGAAACTGGCTGTATGGGGTCATCACCACATTGCCAACTTTAGACACTGACAGGAACAAGCAGCAGAGGTACCAAGTGTCTCAGGGTCTCAGCCATGAACCCTTTCACAACCATCGTCAAACAGGGCCTAACATAGAGCAGGCAGTCAAATTCAAGCTTGTTTAATGAAACCCATTGCATAGAATTATTCAATTTCCAGATGGGTAGAGAATTTAATGAATCATTTAATCCAACCTTCTGGTTTCACATATGGGAGAATTTGGCCCAGTAAAGGAGGAAGTGATATTCTTCAAGTCACAAAGTAAGTTAGCAAGCAGCAACATCAGAACCAGAAACCTGATCTGCAGATGCCTAGGCCAGTACTTTTCTACCACACAATGCTAAACTAATCCCTCTCCATCACTTTACAGATGGGGAATATGGAGAGGAAGTGATTTACTCAAGGGTGAAGGGCTAGTGAGGTACACTGGCCAGATCAGAGCCCAGTTATTTGATTCTTAATATAATGCTCATTTTTCACTCCACCACAATTCCCCTCTTGATACATATGTATTTTGTGCAGCAAGGGAGCAGAGATCGTAAATTGCAGGTGCTTGCTCTGGAATGTTAGGGCTTGAGAAGAAAGTGCCCTGAGCTGGGCCCCTGGGAATTAGGCTTTGTGGCTGAGGATGGGGGGAATGAGAGAAAGATGTGATGAGGGATTGAAAGGCGACAGGGGGAGAAGTTCAACTAGTTTTGAGTAATTGCTGTTAGACAGCAGGTATGGTTGGCTGCAATGAGGTAATGCCTCTGCTTGTTATATTAGAGTTTGCAAGATTACAAAAAGTGCAAGCAGCCCTCTGTTACAGACTCATTTCCTGATGAAGAAGCCCAGGCCAGAGGAGGAGAGGAAACAAGCTGACAAACAGTTATTAGCTATGTCATCACAATCCCTTCCAAATCCGTTATTTTATGTGCTTTGCCCAATGATCCTCTTAGGTTAGTAAGAAAGGTATTATCCTAAATTTAAAAATGAGCAAATTGGGTTTCAGAAAGACACGTGATTTACCCAAGGATACACAGTGATTCAATGGCAAAGCCATAATTTCTCACTTCCCTTTTACCTGCAGCCTCCCCCTACAGTATTACCCAAAAGTATTACAATTAAAAGCTTCCACGATTTCCCATAGAGAATTTCAAAAAATGTTGAAGAATCAGGAAAGAATTCCAGGGAAGACAGAAGGAAACCCAATTTCTCCAGACAGAGTGCATAAACCATCAGAATAAGAACATGATTTGTTTCAATCTCAGCACTTGAAGTCAAAACTAACTGAATGTCCCTCATGGACATCATCACCCGGAGATCAAAAGTCCCAAAGCAAAAAGAACAAATCTAGAGGCATCACGCTACCCGATTCCAAACTATACTATAAGGCGATAGTCACCAAAACAGCATGGTACTGATATAAAAATAGACATATAAACCAATGGAACAGAATAGAGAATCCAGAAATAAACCCAAATACTAACAACAAACTGATCTTTAACAAAGCAAACAAAAACATAAAGTGGGGAAAGGACACCATTTCCAGCAAATGGTGCTAGGATAATTGGCTAGCCACATGCAGGAGAATGAAACTGGAACCTCATCTCTCATCTTATACAAACATCAACTCAAGATGGATTAAGGACTTAAACCCAAGACCTGAAGCTATAAAAATTCTACAAGATAACATTGAAAAACACCTTCTAGACATTGGCTTAGGCAAGGATTTCATGACAAAGAACCCAAAAGCAAATGCCAATAAAAACAAAGATAAATAGCTGGGACCTAATTAAACTAAAGAGCTTTTGCACGGCAAAAGGAACAGTCAGTAGGGTAAGCAGACAACTCACAGAGTGAGAGGAAATCTTCACAATCTATGCATCTGACAAAGGACTAATATCCAGAATCTACAACGAACTAAAACAAATCATTAAGGAAAAAGCAAACAATCCCATCAAAAACTGGGCTAAAGACAAGAATAGACAATTATCAAAAGAAGATATACAAATGGCCAACAAACATATGAAAAAATCCTCAACATCACTAATGATCAGGGAATGCAAATCAAAATCACAGTGTGATATCACCAAACTCCTGCAGGAATGGCCATAATCAAAAAATGAAAAAAACAGTAAATGTTGGTGTGGATACAGTCAACAGGTAACACTTCTACACTAATAATGGAATGTATGCTAACACAGCCACTGTAGAAAACAGTGTCGAGATTCCTTAAAGAACTAAAAGTAGAATCACCATTTGATTCAGCAATCCCACTACTGAGTGTCTACCTAGAATAAAATAAGTCATTATTCAAAAAATATACTTGCACACAAATGTTTATAGTAGCACAATTCACAACTGCAAAATTGTGGAACCAACCCAAATGTCCATCATTCAATGAATGGATAAAGACATTTTGATATATATATATACACACATATATGTAATACATATACATATATAAACATAGTACATATGTATATATTCCATCATATATATACACATATGTAATACATATACATATGTAAATATAATACATATGTATTAAATATATGTGTGTATATATATGATAGAATACTATGCAGCCATAAAAAGGAATAACACAATTTGCAGTGACCTGGATGAGATTGGAGACTATTACTCTAAGTGATGAACTCAGGAATGGAAAACCAAACGTCATATTTCTCCTTGATATGTGGGAGCTAAGCTATGAGGATGCAAAGGCATAAGCATGATATGATGGGCTTTGGGGGATTGGGAGAAAGAGTGGGAAGGGGGCAAGGGATAAAATACTACAAACATGATGCAGTGTATACTGCTTGGGAGATGGATGCACCAAAATCTCACAAATCACCACTAAAGAACTTGCTCAGGTAACCAAATAACACCTGTACACTAATAACTTATGAGAAAAATAAATTTTTTTTAAAAGTCCCAGTATGACAACCAGTAGGAGGGGCAGAGAACTTAAGGCAGAGGAACACACTATATCAGTGTGCAGTACCAAGACTACAGTAGAAATGAGAGGAGGGGTTGTAATAATATGGTTGTCCTCACCTGTGACAAAGGAAGCTGATGAATTAAACTATAATACTATCAACTGCTGTCACCATGATTTCAGTTTAAAGTAAAATTTTGAAGCCAAGACATAGGAAGACAAATTCTCAAAATTCAATTTAAAGTAAATGTGTTTAGCTTTAGAAAAACTCATTGTTTTTCAGAATTTAGATGAGGTAATTTCAACTTTAGGAAAAATTCATAGTCCTTATTTCATTTAGAACTAGTGTAACCAACCATGCCTGTTTTCCTGGGACTCAGGGGTTTCCTGGGATGTGGAATTTTCAGTGATAAAACCAGGAAAGTCCCAAACAACCTTGGATGAAGTGGTCAACCTATTTTCAGATATATTTAGGACTAGAGATGTCATGAGCTAGCACAACCCATGGACAGTGGGTTAAGAATCACTGCCACAGATAATTTTCTAATATTCTCTTTTTAGGACTCAAACAATATAAAGTTAAAAATGATCATGGAATTAAACCTTGGAGATATGAAGCTTATACACTTTAAATGCAAACCTTCCTAAATCATAAACTTGACTTGAATGCAGTCAAGGAAGAGATCTCAGAGATCCAATTGCTTAATAGTTCTGAACACAATATGAGTCTCAGCCCAACTTCTCTTGTGGCTGGATAGAAAAGCTGCAGGGCACATGGAGTCTGTTCACACACACTGCTTTATGTTCACATGTGCTGGACAGTGAAGTATATTCTAGAAAATGCTTTTAATTATGCCACCTGCAATGGAGTAGTCTCCTTCATGATAGCCCTCCAATGCAAGCCAAGTTCATTCCCAGAAACTGGCTAAGTGACTTTAAATAATTAGAAATCACAAACAATGCTATATTTCATTCTATCTTAATTCTTGTTATATACTTCATGTATGTAACAGCTTTGTTTCCCTGATCTGGAATATCCAGCCAAACAGTCACACTGGATCTCAGTAACCAAGAACTCAACTTGATGCTTCTGCTGAGTGGTCCAGTTACCAGGCATTGATAGGATTGGAGTTGAACCTCTTTCTTTTGGTGTCACATTATCCTTCATTCCTCAGCTTTGTTTTATCTGCTAGATGGGCCGCAAGCCTGTTTCTAAGACTGGTTGTATAAGATGCAGTGAATGTGGCCGGAAAGTTGTAATAAAAAGGATAAAAGCATGAGTTCTGTTCTGAATTTGCTATCCTTACTAAAACCTAATGTCTGCTCATCTTTAGAGATATGCTAGCCATTTTAGCACAGCCCTGTGGGTAGAAGTCAAGAACCCCACCTAAACCATACATGGCAAATGGTTATCTCACTACTTCCAAAGAACTCCAGGAAAGGGAAATCTATAATATATCTTAGTAGCTTAACAACTCTCACTGTCGACAAATCATTTGTTATATACCTTTATAAACATTTCTTGTTGCAACCTAAGGCCAGATCCTTTTGTTGGGTCCTCAGAGGGGATGGAGAACAGCTAGACACCATCTTCCAGATGAGAGCCCTTCATCAACTCAGATTACTGGCAGGAGACCCTTAGCCTTTTTCCCCATAATAAGCATTCTCCCTCTCCCTGTGGTATCCAATTGCCAAGCCTTTAATCATTTGTTCTCAATTTTTTTTCACTCCCTTGTATACCTATTCACGTATGGGCACTTACAATGAAGTATCAATGAAAGTGAAATGTTGCTTTTGTATTTCTCTTGGCAGAGAGAAACAAACCTACTCCTTCTTCTGTCACCTCCACCCTAGTACCCACAAAAAAAGACACAAATCCTTTTATTCCCAGTTGAGCTTGTTGTTAAACTTCTGAGTTAGAGAAAGCACTGCCTTTCCAAGGGTAAGAGGGTCCAGGCAAAACAGAAAGCAAATTAAAGACTAGAACGTGAAGTGGTAAGAAAGGGAGTCAGTGACTTAACAGCTGCTGAGGGAAACATGTGTGCAAGACTGCTGGTTTAGGACTGGTCTGTGAAGAGCAGCTTTCTTGGCACTGGTGTTGGCAAAGGAATGTGAACAGGCCTTTTTCCTTACGCCCCCAGACAGTGTGCATTGTCTTCCTGCCAATCCTGTTACAAATATGTCTTACTCAGTGTTGAGACTTCCCTAGGAAATGAACAAGATATGTAGGCATATGTTTCCAGTGGGTAAATAGAGTCCTGCTGCAGAGAAATGTGTTGGACCAATGTGACTCCTTGTATCAAGTTGGGTATATAAGCAGCCTGACCATGCTAGATCTTTCTGCTTCAGATAAAGCTTCAAAAAATTGCTGCTACTCCTCCAACATTTCTCTCCTTATTTTCTGCTGCCTATCTCCCTGAGGGGTTTCTTCTCCTCTGGCTATCTCCATGATGAGAGGTACTCTGAGTTCTCCTGTGCCTGAAATCATCTCATGATGTACTCTCTCAAAGTGCTTTACTTTCCATTTGCATCTTGGTGACTCTAAGAAGATCTCTCTTTAGATTTAAGTCTTTTATTTCAAATTCCTCAGATTTCATGTTTGCTGGACCGCCTTCTGGGCCTTTATCCTTCCCTCCTCTTTTAGTCTGGGGTAGAAAGACTAGGAAAACTGCATTGGGTGAGTTTATGTGTTTACTTCCATCTCTCCATCAGTAGTGGGAATACTCAAGAGCAGGTAAGGCATTAAAAGGCAGGAAGCCAGAGACGATGTGGAGAGAAAGGACTAATTGAGCAATTGATAACTTAGAAATGATCAATTCTAAATAAATATATTTGAAAACATACATAGGCCGGGCACGGTGGCTCACGCCTGTAATTCCAGCACTTTGGGAGGCCGAAGCAGGCAGATCACGAGGCCAAGAGATCAAGACCACCCTGGCCAACACAGTGAAACCTCGTCTCTACTAAAATATAAAAATTAGCTGGGCATGGTGGTGCACGTCTGTAGTCCCGGCTACTCGGGAGGCTGAGGCAGGAAAATTGCTTGAACCCGGGAGGCGGAGGTTGCAGTGAGCCGAGATTGTGCCACTGTACTCCAGCCTGGCATCTGGAGACAGAGTGAGACTCTGTCTCAAAAAAAAAAAAAAAAAAGAAAATATAGATAAATAAATTTTAAATATTTTCAAAGTGGGGTGCCAATGAGAGATCTTCAACTCAGTTCTTACTCTGGCTAGACAGGTGCCATCATCTTCAGTGATCCGCTGGTTGTCTAGGAGTTTTCTCTCACACTCTCAGCTGGTTAGAAACTACCCCTATGAAGATCGCTGACAAGACGCTGTTAAGCCCTATTGACGATGGACTAACTGCTAAAGCATCCCCCTACACCCTTAGGTATAACCTCAGCCCTGCTATAGTTGCCCATTAGTCTCTCTACCTCATCGTGTAAGCTGGGAATAAAATGTCACCACAGCTGACCTCCATTGAGTGAATCTGGCCTATCTGGGAAAAAGATGGGCTGATTGCTTTTCCAATCACTTCAGAGAAGTTGAGAGGCAGCATGGTATATCAAGAAGGTTTCTCAACAGAATCACTTTCAATGCTTGTTCAAAATGCAGACTATGTCACCTCCTCCTAGATTCACTGAATGCAAATTTATGGAAATTCATATTTTTTAAAATCGTCAATTAATTCTAATTGGAATTAATGATTGAGGAATACTGTTTTAGTGGCAGAGTCATGATTTTGGCATCAGATCAGAGACAGAGTCCTGAGGTCTACCCCTTACAGGCTATATGTACATAAAAAAGATCACTTAAAACCTTTGAGTTTCAGTTTCATTTATAAAATGGAAATGATGAAGCATAAAATTCAAGTGAAACAATATCTGCACTATACCTAACACCAGAGAAGGTATCAATTATCTCCTTTTCTACCAGAAAAGACCCTATTCTCTCATAAGTAATGGAAAAGACTTGAAACCACCTAAGAATTAGAACATCTCTCCCCTCCCCACAACCGCTCCATTGGTGATTTTTCCTCACCCCTAGGCTTCATTCTATTTTCTGGTCCCCATCACAAAATGAAACCATTTGGCTGAGAGTTTTTTGCAAGAATGGATTTATAGTTTAAGTATTTCAGGTTCTTCTGGAAATCATCATGCTTTGGCACATAGTAGGAACTCATAAATATTTACCAAATGGATGTATTCTTTTATTTCCAGACTGACAGGCCTCAATGTTTGCATTTCAGTTTAAATTAATTACCCCATTTCAGTCACATAACCCCTTAGATTTAGGCAAGTCTAGGAGATCAACCTACCACATTAGCAAACTGGATCCATTTTTACTTGTATAGACAGGTCAGAACAAAATCCCTCTCTCCAATCTCAGAAACAGGCACTTCCTGTCCTCAGGTTACCAACTCCCCTGGGGAATCCAACTAGTACTTAACCCTTAGGTCCTCAAATCTTGTCAATATGAAATAGGAATCCAGCCCTGATTCATCTTAGCAGTCTGTGCAAACAACGGACTATGAAGAAATAAAAAGCACCAGGCTGCCCTTGGGTAGAAAACGGCTTCTCTGAGCTTTGAGATGAAAGGACAGGAAGCCTGAGAAAGGAAGGAGAGAAGCCGGGTGGGGGGTGGGGGCGCTGAGCAAGGGGAGAGCAAAGCAGTTTCTTATCCAGCTGTTTGAATTACATTTGACCCAAGTTGCATATTTACCTTCTGACCACGAAGGCCGACTGACTCTCTCTTCAGGCTCAGATCTCAGAAACAACTTCTCCTCACAGCTTGTTAGACAGGGATGGGAATCCTAGCTGCCCTTTGCAGAGATGCCTGAAAACCTTGCTTTACCTTTGGGAGAGAGGGGCGGAGTCCAACCTAATGGGAATTAACTCCAAACACGCTGGAGGCTTCAAACCCAGCCTGAGACATACAGGCACTTAAAATAGAAAGTAGCTTAGCGGGCAGAGTCCCCCCCACCTCCAACCTCACACCAGACAACTCAGCTCTGTGTGTATGTGTGCGTGTGTGCACACACACACAAGCAGACATGCCCACTCTTGAACTGCATATCTAACTTCCTCACTTGCTGCCCAAAAGCCTGCTGAGGAACACACATTCTCTTAATTTTCCTCCAATGCCCTAAATAATCTCCACTATGGTAGGTAGCAGACCCATGTAGCTGGAAGTGACTGAGATAACATATGCCTCATGAGAGTAAGGCAGAACAACCTCTTCTCCCCAAGCTGATTTCCATTGCCTAATGGGGAAGATGTTCCAGCAGAGCAATCTTTGGCTCCAAGATATAACGAGGTTACATTTAAGAATTTGTTGAAATCATACATTGAAAGAAAAATTAATACGTTTTTATAGTAATAGTACAATCAAAAGTCCGTGTCTAATTTATCCCAGTGCACTAATAACTTCTCCTCTGCTTGGGAAAAGAGCTGAGTGGTCTGGAGATGAATGGAGCTTTGCCTGATGTTTTACTCCAACCTGATGTCATATTTCCCTCCTGTGAATGTCCCTGGCACTTCCTATTTGGGGAAACTTCTTATGTTCTACCTTGTATTATTATTATTATTATTTGCATAATAATAATATTATTATGCCATAATATTATTATTATTATTATTTTTGGTCTCTTTTCCCCTCCTAGATTTCCTGTGAACAGGGAACTTTGCTGAACAAATCCAAATCAGTTAGAAGGATGAATGGTTAACTTAACAGAGCACACTGGACTGATCCAAAGTATCTATGCTTCTCTGATGGCCCAGTTCCCTCACCAGAATGCAACAAAGGTGATTAGGCCTATTTTCTATCATTTTGGGGCAACGATTCAAGATATGACTGTAAATTAACATATTAATTGTACCATGATTCTTTAACGAACTTACAACTTTAATAAACTTCATTAAAAATAGGTTAACATTATCATTTGTACTCTGAAAATACGTACATATATTATGTACCAATAAAAACAGATTTAGTGGCCAGGAACGCTAGCTCATTCTTGTAACCCAGCACTTTGGGAGGCCAAGGTGGGCGGATCACTTGAGGTCAGGAATTTGAGACCAGCCTGGCCAACATGGTGAAACCCCATGATTTTCTATCATTTTGGGGCAACAATTCAAGATATGATCGTAAACTAACATATTAATTGTACCATGATACCTTAATGAACTTACAAAGTTTCTCCTGCCATCTGTGCATATGACCTGCATCGTGCCTTTTATCTGTGATACAATCTTACATTCATGCATGCATTTGTCTATCTAGCAACTTTCCATCGGCAATTTTTACCATTTTTTTCTATAACATAGTGATAAGTCACATTTCCATCTTTAATCATGGCTTACTAAGGCCATCATGTTTCTGGGGGAAGCAAAAATGACGCCTTAGATGGAATGTCAGACTTTTGGCAGTGTAAGCCCCCCAACTAAGTTTTATAATCTCCCGGGTGTCATTCCCTTAAGAACCATTTCTTCAGACATAGGATTATATAAAAAGAAATGAGGCCCTGCTTCATTAAAAATAGGTTAACATTAACTGACACGTAGTAACTATGTGAGATATAGCTGAAAATATTGACATATAAAAAATAGATGATCTCCACTCTATGCACAGCAGCAAATATTGCCCTTTGCTTAGTGACTACACCTGTCATTTGGGGAACCTATCATTATTTGAAACTCTAAGAAAAGTACCATTTTAATTTCCTCGTTTTAGCCTCTTTCCCCTGTGCCTCTAGTTCCCTTAAATGGAATAATGTAGACACTTGGGTGTATACTAAATAATAATCTAATGTATTGGGCAAAGTTTTATTTCCTATTCTTAAATTAACAGTTGAAAGCTCTCTCAGAAAAAAAAAAAAGTGCTTGCATCTGTGGCTCTTGATATCTTTTCAATTAAAGATGCTCTTCAGCCATGGTTTTATAAGATCATGTAGAAAGGCTTGAGAAAAGAACACTTCTTGTAATGTATTTAGGGGATGGGATGGTGCTAAAATGGATATTGGAAAGGGAACTAGGGAATACCTAAATCCTGCCTTTGATCAGTCTGGAATAAGAGATTCTGCAAGGGTAAGATGTGGGCAACAGGTGATTCTGTTATGTATCCCCATCCCCATCCCTCATTTGTCAAACACTGTTGCATACAATAGCATTTGCCAAATGAAGTCAACACTCCCACAGCATTCTGCAGTCTAGACAAGGGGTCAGCAAGCCAGAGACTGTGCATGCCAAATCCAGCAGGCTGTCTGTTTTTGTAAAGTTTTATTGGCACACTCCCACAGTTTATTCACTTATGTATCATCTACAACTGCAGAGTTGAGTAGTTGTGACAGAGATCTTATGGTCCACAAAACCTCAAAATATTTACTAAGTGATTCTTTACAGAGAAAAGATGTTGACCCCTGGTTAAACACACACCAGTAGATTACAGACATTATGTTGATTATGAGGAGGAAGAGGTTGGAAAAGTAAGGGAAAATGGTGAAATAAAAAGAAATGCTGCTTGCTGTCAGCTTTGTTAAAGTGCCAGTTAACCTACACTAGTTCTTTAAAATCTATTCCCTATGAGTTAGCAACACACTGGAGTTCAGCTAAGCCGAATATTTTGTAGTCTTATGAAAAGGTATTTTTCTATTAACTATCCTTTCAACCTCTGTTGGTGTTGTTTTCCAACATATTTTAAGTCATTTTTTTCCTCTTTTGTCAATGCTGCTTCTCTTATTACTATGGATGTATATTCTGTTCTAGTCTTCCAAGACAGAAGCATTTATTTTGAAAAATTATTTCTAGAATTCTATTGCCCTTGAACTTTGTGGGAAATTTATATGTATATGTTTGCAAATTTAAAACCATATGAATTCCATGACCTGTCGCTAATACAAGTTGGATATGGAAGGTACCCCTTGCCTATACCATGATTTCAATTATAGATTGAAAACCTAGAGATGAAACTTACATTTCTTTAGTATATGAAAATGAGAACCAATAACACTTTTGTTGAGTTTCCTTTTTGACCTCAGAGGATGAACTGATAGTGTTAAGCAGTGATGTGGGGTACTGGCAAATGTTTAGTAACTGGCTTCAAGAGGCAGAGGGTAGAGGGCTGCAAAAGAGCCCTGATTTGTGGCATTTGCTGATTGCCATAGTATAAATACTGCCATCATGGCCAAGTTCAGGCTGCCAGCTTGACATCAGTAAAAGTAGAATTGGGAAGAGATATGAACAATTGATTCTTAGAAGTCGATAAAAGCCAGCTCCAGCATATCACTAGAACTCAGGTTCAAGAAGTTACTTTTATCTTGGTCTGTATAGATTTATAAGCTACACACAATATTAACAAAAATGAGATTGCTGTTATAGTTGTTTCATATGTTACACATAGGCTTGTCTCCACTACACAATATGTTTCAAAATATATTTTAAAATGCATTTCAAAAATATTTTGCTGCACCAACTTTGAAGCTTTTGCAGTGCAATTTGTGTATTATTCAGAAGTAAACCAAAAATAAATTTGCTCATGGATCTTGCTGCCTGCTTTAACAGCTTTTGAGGGAGGATTTTTATTATATTTATAGTAGATGAAAATAAAACAGATTGCAAATCCTTTTTTTAACTAGAATCATGTACCAAATTTTGGGTCCAAATTGTATAGGATAAGTTAAACTAAATTTCATTATATTCACCACTATGAGTATCTTTCTGTAAGCATATTTATATTTAAATAAACTTTAAGAAACAGATTTAGGAAGATGGAGAGTAGATTTGTGATTACCAGAGGCCTGGGAAGCCAGCGGGGAAGGAGGATGAGTACAGGTTAGTTAGTGGGTACAAATATACAGTTAGAATAAGACCTAGTGTGTGGTAGATCAGTAGGGTGACTACAGTTAACATTAATCTATTATACACTTCCAAATAGCTAGCAGATAATAATTTAAATGTTCCTAAGATAAGAAAAAGAAAAATAGTTAAGGTGATGGATGTTTCAATTACCCTGATTTAATCTTTACACATTATATGAATGTATCAAATTATCATTTGTACTCTGAAAATACGTACATGTATTATGTACCAATAAAAACAGATTTAGTGGCCAGGTACAGTAGCTCATGCTTGTAATCCCAGCACTTTGGGAGGCCGAGGCGGGTGGATCACTTGAGGTCAGGAGTTTGAGAAAAGCCTGGCCAACATGGTGAAACCTCATCTGTAGTAAAAATACAAAAATTAGCTGGGCACGGTGGCAGGCGCCTGTAATTCCAGCTGCTCGGGAGTCTCAGGCAGGAGAATCACTTGAGCCCAGAAAGTGAAGGCTGCAGTGAGCTGAGGTGGCACCACTGCACTCCAGCCTGGGCGATAGAGTGACACTCCATCTCTAAATAAATAAATACATACAGATTTAGTAAAAATTTCCAAGATGTTAATACAAAACTCTTAAAAAGTCCTATATACCAGAATTCTATATACCTTGGGCCCTTGTATTCAAAGTACCCCAATGCTAAACTAATTATGAGATTGGTTTGCTTAGGAACAAAAGTCTACTCTCTCATGGTCCAGTTAATGACGATTTGAGTAGAATTTTACTCCTAAGGCAGTGTCATAAATGATGGTCCAGAGAGCTGAAAGAATAAATCCTCTCCCAACTTCCTCAACAGTATTTTCTCTGTCACTTGTCCTCATCCCACCTCTCTTACCACAAAGCCATCGGTGTCTTTCAAAGACTTTCTAACATAAACATCCCTCCCTTCTCAGTCAGCCAAACCCTGTGGAGGAGTGGACATTGGTAGCATGGCTAATTTTCCAGACCACCTCTATTCATTTCCTGGAGAATTATTTCTAAAACTCAGTTTTAGACAATTCAATGAACCAAGAGAAGCAGCATTTCAGAACCAAGAAATTGTTCTTGCCTCTGTCTCTTAAAGCAAGTCATGGAGCTTTGTCAATTTCGGGGCCTCACTCACACAGACTT